GGACTAGAGTCATGATACTTGGGTATCTTATGAAGACCAGCTGTGTGAATTGTTTTCTTTATTACAGTAATGAGGTCAAAGGTCAACTTTAAGTGCAAGTTGGGAATCAAAGGTCAATGTGGGTTAAAAGCTTCAAAAATTAAAATTTCAAATTTCAAACAACAATATCTTCAGAACCTTTTAAGAGATGTTAAAATATATCGTGTTCTAGTTACCAAATTTGATCTTTGGTTACCTATATGTCAGTTTCATGTAACAAAAGAAATAGGTTAGCGATACAGGCCCTTTGTTTAAGTTTTTTGGGGCTCTCATTCTTATGTTGCACTAACAGAATCTTTCCATTTTGGCTTTAAATTCTTGGGAAATTTCACCCCCAATCTCTTAAATTGATTTTTACTTAGATTTAACAGATATATTATCTGGGGTGGCTATGAGTCTAGTCGCGAGTCTCTGGATTCCTCCAGAGTCAAGTGACTTCTCTTGCCTTCTTCAGAGTCTAGCGTTTCTAATTCATAGTCTTTTATAGCTTCTCCATGGATATTAGGAATCTAGTCGCTTCTCTAAAGTCTTTCAGAGTCTAGCTGCTTCTCTTGTTTTCTTTGGAGTCTAGCTTGCGTTCTTTATAAAGCTTCTCCGTGACTACTCAGAGTCTAGCTCCCCTCCTTTATCAAGCTTCTCTGTGACTTCTCTGTAACTTCTCATAGTCTAACTCCCCTCCTTTATCAAGCTTCTCTGAGACTTCTCAGAGTCTAGCTTCCTTTAAAATGTTTTGAAAAGAATTTGTATTACTATTAGTAGGATTGTTATAGAGTGAGTAGCCCCTGATACGCCAAAAACTATTGCTCTGTAGCATATATGGCCCTGTCAGAAGATGCAATTTTGTTGGTAATCTTTCAATGTCTCTACGATCTGTTGATACTGATCCCAGCACTGGGTGAATCAATCCCACCCTAACCTCTTCACAATGCAGATATGTTAAGGAACTGAAGTACTTAGCCTGTCTGTGCAGCGCAGACGTCCAATTAGGGGATAGTACGTTGTTTTGAGCGGCTATACTGGCGATTAGAATATAGACATGAAAAACAACGTACTATCCCCATTCTAACACACCTTAACAAATATACTACGCTAATATGTTAAGAAACATTGTGTTTCCTTGTACAAAAGTACTTTGTGACCTGAACTGGCGACGTGTCATTCTGCAGCGGACTGACCAATCGGAAAGAAGCTTTCAAAAGTCGGTCATTTAGCCTCGCCCATACTGGCAAGAGCTCGATCTGTATGTTGACGTTCGTGAACGTCCTGTTACCAAAGTTTATATGACACATTCGGATTCATATTGAACAAGTTCTTACATTTCCATGTCAGTATGCATACCAATCGGTGCTTTTCGACAAAATCGGTGATTTAGCTCAAGTGACCTATTGCTATCCGTCTTCGTCCGTCGTCGGCCGTCGTCCGTCTTCCATCGTCCATCGTCCGTCGTCCGTTAACATTTTACATTTCAAACTTAAAGTCAAGTTCTGCGGGGCCGATTGAACTGAAAGTTGGTAGGAATGATCGACTCATGGTCCTGACAAAGTGTTGTTATTTTTCGGGTCGATCAGAAATCCAATATGGTCGCCACAGCCGCCATTTTGAAAAACTATTCCAAACTTAAAGTCAAGTTCTGCTAGATTGATTGAACTTAAATTTGGAAGGAATGATCAGCTCATGAGCCTGACAAAGTGTTGTTATTTTTCAGGTCAATCAGAAATCCAATATGGCCACCACAGCCGCCATTTTGAAAAACTATTTCAAACTGAAAGTCAAGTTCTGCTAGGCCGATTGAACTGAAAATTTGTAGGAATGATCGACTCAAGGTCCTGACAAAATGTTGTTATTTTTCGGGTCGATCAGAAATCCAATATGGCCGCCATTTTGAAAAACTATTTCAAACTTAAAGTCAAGTTCTGCTAGGTTGATTGAACTGAAAGTTGGTAGGAATGATCAGCTCATGATCCAGACAAAGCTTTTTTAGCTCACCTTCCCGAAGGGCAAGTGAGCTTATGTAATGGTGCGGAGTCCGTCGTCCGTCCGGCGTCCGTCCGGCGTCCGGCGTCCGCCTGTCCCGCGTCAACTTTTTGCTTTAAACAACTTATTTTCGGTAACCAAAAGGCCTAGGAAGATGATATTTGGCCAGTAGCATGCTGGGATCAAGGGCTACAAAGTTTGTTCAAATGAATGACCTTGCCCCACTTTCAAGGTCACTGGTGTCAGATGTCTTGAAAATCTTCAAACAACTTCTTCTCAATAACCAAAAGGCCCAGTGTACTGATATTGGGCCTGTAGCATGCTGGGATGAAGGACTACCAAGTTTGTTCAAATAAATGACCTTGACCAACTTTCAAGGTCACAGGGTCAAATGTTGTAAAGTCTTCAAGCGACTTCTTCGCAATAAGAAAAAGGGCCAGGGTACTGTGATTCGGCCTGTAGCATGCTGGGATGAAGGATTACCATGTTAGTTCAAATGAATGACCTTGACCAACTTTCAATGGTCAAAGGGGTCAAATGTCATAAAATCTTCAAACAACTTCTTCTCAATAACCAAATGGCCCAGGATAATGATCAGCTCATGGTCCGGACAAAGTGTTGTTATTTTTAAGGTCAATCAGAAATCAAATATGGCCGCCACGGCCGCCATTTTGAAAAAACTATTTCAAACTTAAAGTCAAGTTCTGCTGGGCCGATTGAACTGAAAGTTTGTAGGAATGATCGACTCATGGTCCTGACAAAGTGTTGTTAATTTTCAGGTCGATCAGAAATACAATATGGCCGCCACGGCCGCCATTTTGAAAAACTTTTTCAAACTTAAAGTCAAGTTCTGCTGGGCCGATTTTACTGAAAGTTGGTAGGAATGATCTACCCATGGTCCTGACAAAGTGTTGTAGCTCACCTGGCCCGAAGGGCCAAGTGAGCTTATGGCATGGTGCGGCGTCCGGCGTCCGTCCGGCGTCCGTCGTCCGTCAGGCGTCAACTTTTTACTTTTAACAACTTCTTCTCAGTAACCAAAAGGGCTAGGTTAATGATATTTGGCCAGTAACATCCTTGGATGAGGGGCTACCAAGTTTGTTTCAAATAAATGACCTTGATTTATAATCAAGGTCACTGGGGTCAAATATGTTAAAATCTTTAAACAACTTCTTCTGAATAACAAAGAGGCCTAGGGTGATGGTCCCTGACCAGTAATATGCTGGGATGAAGGCCTACCAAGTTTGTTTAAATAAATGATCTTGACTTATATTCAAGGTCACAGGGGTCAAATGTGTTTAAAACCTTTAACAACTTCTTCTGAATAACCAAGAGGCCTAATGTGATGATAGTTGGCCAGTACCATGCTGAAATTAATGGCTACCAAGTTTGTTCAAATAAATGACCTTGAGTTATATTCAAGGTCACAGGGGTCAAATATGTTAAAATCTTTAAACAAGTTCTTCTGAATAACCAACAGGCCTAGGGTGATGATATTTGGCCAGTAACATGCTGGGATGAAGGGTTACCAAGTTTGTTCAAATAAATGACCTTGATTTATATTCAAGGTCACTGGGGTCAAATATGTTAAAAACCTTTAAACGACTTCTTCTGAAGAACCAACAGGCCTAGGGTGATGATATTTGGCCAGTAACATGCTGGGATGAAGGGCTACCATGTTTGTTCAAATGAATGACCTTTGCCAATTTTTCTGAATTACTTTCAAGACGCTGATATTTTGCTTTATTTTATTCCTCTTTTAAGGTTACAATTGTGAGATTAATACCAGGTGAGCGATGCAGGCCCATTGGGCCTCTTGAACAGTTGACAGTAAAGGATGCACTGTGATGCTGGCGTGGGCGAGTGGGTCAGCACCCCTACACAGATATAGGGATTGTCAGATGTAATGGGTAGCATGGATGTATCATTGTGGTTACCGGATGACACATCAGTGTTATATATATTGTGGTTACAGGATGTACCAGGGACAGTAGATGCCGAGGGCTGTATTGTAATGCTTGGTGTTGGTCAAGTTTTGTTTTGCCTCGAAGCTGTCATTGTTGCTCTCAAAGAACTTGGATAGTTGTATTCGATAGTATTTATAGGCAGCACTCGAGAATGTCATTACGATTCCATTTCTGTAAGTGGTCTGTTTAATACTACAGTCATTCTCCTGTTTTCCAGCTCCTCAATTTTCTCTTTTAAGTGCCCTCTTTTTAGGTCACCTGAGCTTTAGCTCAAGTGACCTATTGCTATCCATTTTCGTCCGTCTTCGTCCGTCGTCCGTTTACATTTTACATTTCAAACTTAAAGTCAAGTTCTGCTGGGCCGATTGAACTGAAAGTTGGTAGGAATGATCGACTCATGGTCCTGACAAAGTGTTGTTATTTTTCAGGTCAATCAGAAATCCAATATGACCACCACGGCTGCCATTTTGAAAAACAATTTCAAACTTAAAGTCAAGTTCTGCTAGGCCGATTGAACTGGATCTAGAGCATTCTTTGGCCAAGGGAACTCAATTTTATATAAATGGTGGGTGTGGACCCCTTGAGGCAGAGGGCCGGGGCCGAATAGGGGGAAATAGAGGTAGAACCTTTAAAATCTTCTGTAGGAATGAAGGATTATGTCCATATTTGGTGTGGAGGATCCTTGGGTAAAGAGGAACCAATTTTGTATAAATGGTGGGTGTGGCCCACCTGGTACCTGAGGGGCGGGGACCAATACGGTAAATAGAGGTTAAACCTTTATAATCCTTCTCCTACCATAGGGATGAAGGAATTTCTTCCCAATTTGGTCTGCATGATATTGGGCAAAAGGGACTCAATATTGTATAAACAGTGAATTTATCCCCCCTGGGGGCAGAAGGGATGGGCCCAATAGGAGAAACATGGCAAATTCTTCAAATACCTTCTTCTTCTTTACAAATGACAGGATTTTGTCCAAATCTGGTTTGAAGCATCCTTGGATGAAGGGGAACCAATTTTGTATAAACAGTGTGAGCCTCAAACATCCTATTTATTTGTATCATATAATCACCCATGTCTTCTTTTATTACAGATGCCTATACCGTAAAAATCCTCAAAACCTCCTATGCCATCACTGAAGGAACTACCTTCACCATTCCATGTTCTGCATCATCAGCTGCATCAGCTGCAACAGCTGCAACAGCGACAAGTTTCTCCTGGGAGCGTACCATCGATGGTCGAACCTTACCAATCCGCATTGATGGTGCTCATTTCTCTGGAGTTACCACTGGCTCTCCATCTCTGAACATCATCCAAGCCTTTATCACAGATTCTGGAACTTACACCTGCGTTGCTTCTAACTCCGCTGGAACTGCAAGGACTTCAACACAGTTACCTGTTTCTGAACGTAAGTAAATAAGTGGGCATTGACTTTGATTGTTATGGCATTATTAAAACAATCATGTAATTTGGATGACAGTGGCGGAAGCTTACATTTATTTTCTTATTTTGGTAATAATTAATGTAATATTAGTTTGCTTTACAAGCAACCATTTGGGAATTGAAATAAAAATGCTGGGCATGAAAAATCTAATACAGATATGCTACAAGGATTGACCTTGGGGTCTGGCATATTCCCTTGGATCTCATTTGGAGAATATTTTGCCATGATTGCTTAGATATCCAGGTGAGAGATACAGGCCCTCTGGGCCTCTTGTATATAATATGGTATTATTGTAAGATATAGTTTGATGTAGACCGAGGGGTACGATGTAGACCGAGGGGTATATGGAAAAGGTTTGATGCTTGGCTAATGCTAAAATAACAGACATGAACGACCGACATTTTCTGTCAATTCTACTCTACGCAAATCTTGATTTCCTACAGAAAATGTGAAAAATTCATTGTTGTGTACAGTAAGGAATCCTATATTAAACATATGCTTCCAGATTGCATAGCTGTCAGAAGACTCTATTAAATAAAGACTTCTTGAATTACTTCATTGTGAGACCTGTCATTAAGTTAATTCCCTAAAGAAAATGTTCACATCATCGGGCTCATAATAAAATTAAGGCTGAGTTTTGCAATGTATATTTGTTACATTTGAGATTCCTGTAAATGGAAAAGATAACCTGATGCGATTTGTTGTTGAAATTTATTTTGTCAGAATTTCTCATGTAAAGATGAAAGTAGATTCAGAGGCATGAGATTCATTTTCCATACAACGTTGTCCTCCAATAAGCCAATGATGAATCAGAATATTGACCTTTACTAGGATTGCCAGTATCGTCATCATATCATAATTTTGTTGGGGAAATCATTGTTGCATATCAGGGGCTGCGGTTGCAAAGTGGTTGAGGCGTCTGACATTCAGCTACCACTAGCCCTCCACCACTGGGTTGCGGGTTTGAGTCCTACGTGGGGCAGTCACCAGGTACTGGCTGTAGGTCGGTGGTTTTACTATGGGAACTCCTGCCATAGCTGTTAAAAGAACGTACAACAGACACTCCAAATGTTTCATATCATGTCTCAGAAACTATGCTAAGTCTATGGCAGGACATATGATAAGGAAATGACTGACTGGTTCGCCATCAACTTTGTCCCAAGCATAATGTCCTAGCTATTTCACCTAAATTGTGTACATTGGGAAGGTGGCGTGTCTCATACTGAAATTTCATAACCCTATACCAGAAATCATCAAACTACATTTATGGATATTAGAACAAAATGACATTAACCATACGTGGAATATTCATGTTGGGCAATTGTAATTATATTCAGGTATGGCCACTGTTCACTGTTCAGGTGTATAGAGTTCACAAACTCTCAGAATATCACAACTGTTTTATTGTGATGATTTTCTCTGAATGACAGATTCATTCACCTGTTATCAGTACAGTAATCAGACTTCAAAACAGCAAGTCATCTCAGTCTTACCCAGTACATCTGTGAGAGTACTACACCAATATATCAAATATAGGCCACTGCGACCAATATTTTCACTGATTTCGATTAGACTTTGTAAGTTGATACAAGTTTGAGGCTTGCAAACATGAAAAATCTAAAACGAGTATCATCAATCTAAAATGAAGGGAAACGAGTGTCAGATTCTATAATACAAAGAAAACTGTAAAATTGTGATCTGAAACGAATATTTTACACTTGGTCCTCCGAAACGATGAAAATTGTGTTTGCTTCACAATGACGTGATGTCACATTGATTGTTCCTATTCGATTGTGACGTCATTTCCAGAGTGATATTACACACGTTGCATAAACATAATTTATGTGATTGCTTTATGACACTGCATAACACAGTATTCATATGATAAATACATTTAAAACATTTTCTAGTTGTTTTCTATATTTGAAGTTGACTTCATTAAAGGTTTTTGCTGTCAAATGTAAATTTGGAATGAGCCACTTAGGTCCTGTATAACGGGAAGTTTTCGCTGCAATTAAATGGTCACCTTTTTCGCCCTCCGTAGTTGGGGCAAATTGATCATGAAAATGAACACATGTAAACAACATTATATACATTAAAAAAATTAAATGTGAAGGCTGAATTTAGTTTTTGGCGAAATTTGATTTTTAATGATCACCTTTTTCGCCCTCTGTAGTTAGGGCAAATTAATCATTAAAGTAAACACATGTTAACAACAATATATACATTAAAAACATTAAATGTGAAGGGCGGATTTAGTTTTTGGCGAAAATGGATTTTTAATGGTCGCCTTTTTCGCCCTCTGTAGTTAAGGCGAATTGATCATTAAAGTGAGAGAAAAAAAACATAATATAGATTGTAATTAAATGTGAAGGACAAATTTAATTTTGGGCAAAAATGAATTTTACTGTCAAAGGGCAAACATTTCCCGGTATACGGTATGTACTTGCATGGCTTTGTATGTCATATCAAAGTTGTGACTTTGTATTTGACATACTGCTCCGCGTCAAATTACTTCTGTTGAATACTGTTGCTAATGTCAGCGTGTAAAAGCTACAGCTTCTATCATTATATTTCCCCGTACCTCGCTGGTAAAAATGTTCAAAATTGATTTGTGCTTCTATTGGAGGGTTGCATATTTTTGTATGCTGTCTCTGATTGGCTAGAATTCTGTGATAACACAGAGATATTACATTGAGGATAAGAGAAGTAAACTGTCGATTAAGGTAGAAATGTTAAAAGATATGTTTCATTTGGGTAACAATGTGGTCAGAAATCCCAGATTTAATAGTAGTAGCTGCATAGCTGGATAACCATATTACTTGTTGTTGTTTGATGGTTGGATAACTGGATTTGTGATGACTGGGTGGAGAGGCGACCAAGTAAGCTGTGTCTTGATGGTAGGGTAACCAGATTAGTGGTGTCTGGATAGTCAGATAACCCATTACAGGGTGCATGCTACAGTTGTGGGATCGCACAACGTTACACGATGTGCGGTGTGCGCACGATGTGTGAACGATGTGTGCACGAAGTGCGAACGATACAAAATTGTTGGTGTAAATTGAGGAATGCATCAACATTATTTACGGTTGCATGTGTTTAAACACAAACTTTATTATTTAGTATGTTTCTATATTCTAGCTATATCTATAAGCTTATCTTTCTGTCTATACTTTCTTTAATTAAGAAACGGTGTTTTCGTTGATTTTTAAACAATCTAAATTGACACATGTGAAATAACAACACGGTCTCGGCAATACAGGTAAACATAGCCACTTTGTACCTGTACTTGGACCGTAGTTACCCCCCGCCCGGAGCACTTACGTAACTCGCCAAAGTGTGAAAACCAAATGAAGGGGAGCTATAGACCAAAACGAATGCAAATAGCAAAAGGTCCAGTTATGTTTTATAACGGTCATACGGTATCACATAGCAGTTTTATGTGTCGGGCACAGGCCAGGTCAAACTCCAGTCACTCATCAAATTGTTATTTACCTGTTCTGTTACCTAGGAGCTAAACCCATTCTTGACAGGGTAATGGTCACTTTAACACTGTGTAACACGCATTGTAAAATTGTACATAATCTTAATTATTGTGATGAGAAATTACAGTAAAATATACAATTTACATTATTCCATACGAACCTTCCGTATTTTTTTCATTCCGTAATATTGATCAACAAATTGTACCGAATCGCACAGTTGTGCGTAGAAAAGCGCACCACGGGGCGAACGATTGTTAAATAGCACAGTTGTGCGTACCATCTGTGGATGATGTGCGGACAGTGTGTGAACGATGTATGCACGGTGTGCGAACGGTATTTTCGATGCGTTGTGTGGTCACACAACTGTACCTTGATAATTGTCAGTTTGTCAAGTAGTACCCGGTACAAACAGATTAGTGGTGTCTGGATAATCGGATAGCCCAATTACAGGGGGCATGATACCTTGATAAGTGTCAGTTTGTAAAGTAGTACCTGGTACAAACAGATTAGTGGTGTCTGGATAGTCAGATACCCCAATTACAGGGGGCATGATACCTTGCTAAGTGTCAGTTTGTCATGTAGTACCCGGTACAAACAGATTAGTAGTGTCTGGATAGTCAGATAACCCAATTACAGGGGGCATGATACCTTGATAAGTGTCAGTTTGTTGAGTAGTACCTGGTACAAACAGATTAGTGGTGTCTGGATAGTCAGATAACCCAATTACGGGGGGACATGATACCTTGATAAGTGTCAGTTTATCAAGAAGTACCTGATACAAGCAGATTAGTGGTGTCTACATTAAGGAGACTCGATCCTGTAAGCTGCTGGATAATGAAACAGCCTTCAATACCTGTGGGTGTAGAGCTCTTCTGTGTAAGAAGACAGTTAAGTCACCTCACAGACCTCCAACAATGCTACCTTTGTAAACCATGGTCAGGAATAATAAAATATATGACCTGTATCTGAGCGATATTAATAGAATAGCTCACCCCCTTGTTGGTGAGATAGGGGAATCTCAACCTGAGGGGGAAAATTTCTAAGTAGCCAAACACGAGGCTTTGCCGAAGTCATCCGGTCAGAGGTCAGGGTCAAAGGTCAAGGTCAATTGAGCTTATGCCGTAGTGCGGCGTCCTTCGTCCGTCTGTCCGTCCGGCGTCAATATTTTACTTTAAACAACCTCTTCTCAATATCCAAAAGGCCTAGGCTGATGATATTTGGCAAGTAGCATGCTGGGATAAAGGGCTACCAAGTCTGTTCACATGAATGACCTTGACCTACTTTCAAGGTCACAGGGGTCAAATGTCTTGAAACAACTTCTAAGAACTTCCTCTCAATAACCAAAATGCCCAGGGTACGGCTATTGGGCCTGTAGCATGCTGGGATGAAGGGCTACCAAGTTTGTTCAAATGAATGACCTTGACCCACTTTCAAGGTTAAATGGGTCAAATGTCTTTAAACAACTTCTAAGAACTTCCT